GATTTCTCACTTTCTGTCTCTGTCTCTCCAGTGAGTGCATGAACCCTATAGCAAAAATGTGGAGACTGTTCTATTGCAGACAGACAAAACCTAAATAATAAAAGTGTGAAAGTTGACTGGATCAATGAGAAACTTAAACACGGACTAGGTATTTAGATATTAGGGAATTCTTCCTTTTTTTTTTTTTTGAGATATGTGATAGTATGGTTATATAAGATTGTGTATTTGTTTTTTTTTTTTTTTTTTTTATGAGAGAGAGGGAAAGGGAGAGAGACACAAATAGGCATTTTTCTTTTTTTGGAGAGATTTTTTGTTTTTGCTATAGGGCGCATGCGCTTGCCGGAAAGACAGAGACTGAGAGATAGAAAGTGAAAAATCACCCCCCGGGGGGATGGCCACGCTACAATCCTTTCTCCTCCATTCTCCTCTCGGGATCTTGGGCACGCAGACCACCAGGTCTGGGACTTGAATTGCAGTTGGCTACATGGGAGTTCAGTGACAGCCATTCCTCTAACTGCTGGTCCCACAAATAGGCATTTTTGATAGGGTCTCACTGTGTCTTGATCTTCCAGCTCCAACCTCCCAATTAGGATCATAAGTGTATACAACTATATTTACCACATTCAAGTTGGGCCAGGAACTGAACTCAGGGCTCCCATGTAGCATCCATCCTTTTTAAGTGGTAACGTTACCTATGCACCAGTGTGGCGACTTGTCCATACTTTTATGATATGCATGCTTAAGAATTTAGAGGTGAAGGGACCAGCAGTTAGCATAATGGCTATGTCGCTGGACTCCCATGGCGACTGTGGTTCAGGTCCCGGACTCGGTGGCTTAAACTCACGCCAGGCACACATGCGTGCGTGCCCAAGATCCCGAGAGAATGGAGAAGGGATTGTGGCGTGACCATTCCCCCTGGCGGGTGATTTCTTGCTTTCTATCTCTGTCTCTGTCTTTCTGGCGAGCACACGCACCCTGTAGCGAAAACCTCTCCAATAAAAAGAAAAAGAAAAAAAGAATTTAGAGGTGAATATAATTCTAAGTTACTTTCCAATTGTTCAGTAAAAATAGGACTAAATGTTCATTTTTAAATCTAGGTGGTGTGTACAGAGTTTATTACTTCTAAATTTGCTGTATATTTGATAATTCTCATTTAGAAAAGTGGAAAATATGGGACCAGCAAATAGCGTAATGGCTACATTGCTGGTCTCCCATGTAGTCAACTGTCATTCGAGTCCTGGACCTGGTGGCTTAAACTCATGCCGGGCACATGTGCGTGCGTGCCCAAGATCCTGAGAGGAGAATGGAGGAGAAGGGATTGTGGTGTGGCCATCCCCCCTGGGAGGTGATTTCTCACTTTCTGTCTCTCTGTCTCTGGCGAACGCATGCACCCTGTAGCAAAAACCAAACCAAAACAAAACAACAAAAAAAAACCTCTCAAAAAGAAGTGGAAAATATGACTTTGCTAAAAAAAAATCTGTTGAAGTACTCAACATATACATAGGTCTGTTGGACCTAACAGCTTAAAAGTGGGGGAAAAAATACACAAAGATCTAGGATTCTCCACTATTATTATTCTATTATTTTATAAGGGCACCAGTTGTCTCTGTCAGTGGAAGACTTTATAAATGCATTATTTACATAAAACACAAAAAGCAGGAAATACAAAGTAATGCAAGAGAAGATGCTATGGACTGTTAACATACTACACATTCATTTCAAGAGAAAGAAGTGTAAGGGATGAAGTGGCATCCAAAAACCCCTGGATATTTAATACAATTGTCATTTTTTAACATGACAACTATGGAATAAGCATAATTTGAGTATTTTGCAACCTGCACTTTGTGAAGAATGATACTATGAAATAAAGGTCAACATAAGGAAAAGTGAAAACAACTTTTTAAAACACTCAACAATAGCCTCAGCTATGATAGCACCCGGTGTCTTTTCTCAGCACCTGTTTGTAAGATGTTTCTTATATAAACAATAATGTCCAAACAACGCTGCAGGGTCAATACATGATTAAACTGGTATTTTATGGTACCAGAATTTATATCAATTTCCCTGTTTAGCTCAGGAAAACTTCCTTGTGCAAAGATGTCCCATAATTTCTGATGCTGTTTTTAAGCAGTTCCTCTTATCCAGTCAGTATGTCAAACACTGCTTCGATATATTGATATGTACAAAAAAGCATTTTTAGTTCTACAACAGTTCTGTGCCAGTCAATAATATCTTATTACTCAGCTTTAATTTACATATTTTATTAATTTAATCAATGTACTGACCACATGCTGTATGCAAGGCACTGGGGAAACAGAAAGGAGCAAGATGAAATCTCAGCTCTGTACATAGGGCCTTATATTCTGATACTGGAATGATGTATTAAATTTAATAGTAATTTTTACCTACTGCTACTTGCATTTGTCAATTTTCCTTTTATTCTGCTTAATGATTATTCCATCAGTTTCTGCAACAATACTTTTTCCAAAGGAAAAAAAAATTTCCTGATGTCTTAAGAGTAATTGATTTCACTTATACATGAGGTCTTCAATAAGTTCATGGAATATGTGCATTATGAAAACCTATGCATGCATTTCAAAAAATATTTTTGCACCAAAATAAACTCATACTTTAGTTTTCATTTTTTTCTACAAACATTTTGAAGTGCCATCATATGTATGAAGGAGCATAAGGCTTCCAAGTACTCCTTAAAAATCAGTCATATTATTTTTTTCTTATAGACAGGCTAATTTTGCTTATTTAGCCACTATATTAGGTAAAGCAAGTCCAAATATATTTCTTGTTATATAAGTTATCTAAAAATTCTTTATTTTGTTTCATCTTGACTGTTTCCTGACCCACCTTATGCAATGAACCCAAATCTATTATCTTTTTTTCCTATTATTTATCAATAGCTGCTTTCATTATTTCTGTGTCTTGGGATTATGGGGTAGCATTTGGCAGCCCATTTTTGCAGGTTTCTAATGATCCTTCCATAACAGAGTAATTTAGATTGTGTCCTTACTTTATCTCTCATTATTCTAGAAAGTTTTCTGCTGCTTCAATCAACTGTAATTTTTAACATTACAGTAAGCCTTGACAGGATCCAATTAAGAAGTTTGGGACCTGAGCACAGTAGGCACTCAAGAAACGTGTTTTGGAGGAAGAACTAGACTTCCTACACTAAAACAGCCACTTAACATTGTAAGTTAAGGAGTCAGGTGAAAAAAAAAGAGAGCTGGATGCCTACTTCTCCCTTCCGTATGACCTTGGATAGCAGAACATAGTCAAATTAAGGCTAATATGTTTTAAAGATTAATTTAAGCTTGGGGTGTTTGATTTTTTTGACTGTTGTAACTAAATCTGTACATATGTCTAAATATTATATACACATTAGTTTTCCTATCCTAATAGACCTTTCATTAAGCCTGTCTTGCTTTTCCAGTATTTGAGGGCAAGTATAAAAGAACAGTGGTCACTTAGACATTTTTAAGATACTTTCACCTTTTTCAAACCTACTGGCTCCACATGGCAGTTATGGCACAGCAGGAAAAGGGGAAGTTAAAAAAAAAGAGGAAGGGGAAAGGAACTCATTACACAGTTTAAGGCTTCAAAGCTGGGAAGAAACAAAGGCCCCAAAGCAGCTTTTCTTTTCTATAATCCTAGGATTATTCTCTAGTGTGAAGTCTCTACTTGGTGGATACTTTTTCAAATTATATTCATAAGGCCTCATTTAAGAAGTACTTGAAATACAGTGAGTTGATGAGTTACAGGTTTTTGAATACCCTTTCATGTGGTTTCTTTCTGGAATGAATTAAGCTGATATCAAATAAAGGTTTAAGAAATCAATGAATTTTCTTAAATTTCACATTAAAATTAAATAGGTTATGTCCATGTTATGAATTCTGATACTTTTGCTGAGTGTTATCTAATATATATATATATTGCACTTATATTTCCTCTGAATAATCTTAACACACAGAGCTCACAAAATAAAATGTAAATAATCAAGCTGTAAAACTTGTCAAGTCTCTCATATCCATTAATTACGATGTTTGGCTCCCGTATGAACACGTTGGTGCTGAATAAGGTTTGTACTCTGGGTGAAGCTTTTACCACATATACGACATGCATAGGGCTTCTCTCCTGTGTGAATTCTCTGGTGTTGAATAAGGCATGTTCTCTGGCTAAAATCTTTATCACATTCATTACATTTATAGGGTCTCTCTCCAGTATGAGTTCTCTGATGTTGATTAAGTGATGAGGAATAAATAAAAGCTTTCCCACATTCGTTACACTTATAGGGCTTCTCACCAGTATGAATCCTTTGATGTTGAGTAAGATTTGCACCCTGTCTATATGCTTTCCCACATATATTGCATTTAAATGGTTTTTCTCCATTATGGATCCTCTGATGTTGAGTAAGGTGCACACTCTGGCTGAAGGCTTTCCCACAAACACTGCATTTATATGGTTTCTCTCCAGTATGTGTTCTATGATGTTGAGTAAGGTTTGCACTCTGGCTGAAGGCTTTCCCACATATGTTGCATATATAGGATTTCTCTCCGGTGTGAGTAGTTTGATGTTGAATAAGAGTTGAGGAATGGGCAAAGGCTTTTCCACACTCATTACATTTATAACATTTCTCTCCAGAATGAATTCTCTGATGTCGAATAAGGTAAGTACTCTGACTAAACACTTTCCAACACTCATTGCATTTATATGGTTTCTTTCCAGTATGTATTTTTTGATGTTGGAGAAGGTGTGTACTCTGACTGAAAGTTTTCCCACATTCGTTGCATATATAAGGTTTTTCTCCAGTATGAACTCTCTGATGATTAATCAGTGATGAACTGTGGCTGAAAGTTTTACCACATTCCAAACATTTATAAGGTTTCTCTCCAGTATGTGTCCTTTGATGTATAGTAAGGTGAGCACGCTGACTGAAGTCTTTCCCACAGTCATCACACTTATAGGGTTTTTCTCCAGTATGAATCCTCTGATGTATAGTGAGGTGTGCCCGCTGGCTGAAGGCTTTACCACACTGGTGGCATTCATATGGTTTTTCTCCAGTATGCATTCTTTGATGCGCAATGAGGGATGAGATATGTTTTCTCTTTCCCACATTCTTCACATTCATAAGATTTCTCTTTGGCATGGCTACTTTGGTGTTTTAAGAGGGATGGGTATTTCCTAAATTTTTTCCCACACACATTACATTTATAAGGCTTGTCTCCAGGAAGTATTTTCCCATGTACAATACCATATGAAACATGACTGAAGGTTGCCCTGCCGTCAAACACAGAAGTTTTATTATCTGATTGGGTATCAAATTGTACAATTAGGTTTGAATGCTTTTCAAAATTATTTCTATATATGTCATATTTCCTAAGACATTCTTCTGTTGGATCATCATCTTGTGAAGGGTCTGACTTCAAACTGAAATTTGTTTTGTTAGTGGGAATTTTCCTGAAGGTATCTGTTGCTTGCCACTCTAATCTGTCATCATAGTCACATGATTCTTCCAACTTGATGGTCTGAGTTCCAACCTTTCTGAGTTTAGAAATATCCTCTACTGAAGTGCATGCTTGGGTTTCAGTTTCCCATTCTGAAATAAAAACAAAAGTTTTCCTCTATCTGGAGAAAGGAAACTGCCAAAAATAGACACAATAATATATATGAATAAAACACTTTATGGAAAACTTATTAACATGATCCTTACAGCAAAGGAAAGGAAAATAAAAGGGCAGAAAAAGAGGAGACTCAAATTGAGAATAGAGAGGCTTCTCAGTTTTCAAAATGGGCACAGAGTAAAGAAAGTGATTTGAACAGGTGACAGCTAAGAGAAATAAAAACAGTGGATGAGAATGTGGGATAGGGGTCAACCGGTAGTGTGGTGAAGGTGCTACATTCCCACATGGCAGACTGTGCTTTGAGTCCCAGACCCAGTGGCTTGAAATTCATGCTGGGCATGTGTGCATGCATGCCCAAAATCCTGAGAGGAAAACAGAGGAGAAGAGGTTGCAGTGTGGCCATCCTCCTGGTATGTGTGAGTGTGTATGTGTGTGTGTGAAAGAGAGAGAGAGATCTCACTTTCCTTCTCAGTGTCTCTCTCCAGCAAGTGCATGCACCCAACAGCAAAAAAATACTGTAGGATAACTTGGAATGACTTCACAGATACATTTATATAATGGGCTCATGAAGTTAGCATGCTGATTCTCATTACTTTCCATTAACTCTGCACAGTCCTACATAATATTCTTAAAACATTTCATGGAGTGCTTTCCATGCTCAAGACTCTCTAGTAAATCTTCCATAGCCTAAAACAATAGTTCTCTAAGTACAGTCCCCATAGTACTAGCTTCATGGCATCACCATCAGTTGGAAATGTGTTCAAATTACTGGGATTGGATCCAACAGAAACACTGTTGGTGGATCTCAGCAATTTGTTTTAGCAGGCCCTGCAGGTAGTTTTGCTGTACACTAAAGCTTGAGGATTGTGGCTTAAAGGATAAAAGTTAGAGACAAAGAAAGTTAGATTAGAATACCTTCATTTGGTATTCAGTCCCAAAATAATCCAGGTTTCTCTGCTCTACTTTATATCTTCTACTTCACCTCATATCAAGCTTAAAGTTATCCACTACTTCTCATAATTTTCTATAAACACCATGCTAATCCCAGACGCTAAGCTTTCTTTATTGATACCTTCTCAATCTATTACAAAATATATTTATGGGGCCAGTAGGTGGCATGGTGGTTAAGAGCGCCGACCATGGTTTGAGTCCCAGACCTGGTGGCTTACCTTCTCACTTTCTCTCTCTCTCTCTTCCTCTCTGGTAAATTAAAATAAATAAATACATGAAGTTAAATAAAGTAATTCTTTTTTAAAAAAATATTTATTAATTGTATTTATTCATTATTTTTAATTTGACCAGACAGAGAGGGAAAGTGAGAAAGCAAACTGCCAGGTCCGGGGACTCGAACCATGGTAAGCCATGTGGGAATGTCCAGTGCCTTAACCACTACACTACCAGCTGGTCCCAAATAAAGTAATTCTTAAAAAAAAAAATACAATGTTCCTTTATAGAATCTAAGAAATGGATTAGGTTGAATCATATATGAAATTGCCTGTTTTTACTAAGTCAAAAGGGGGGGACACAAACAGTCTTATATTGTTGGGCCTATGAGAGAAGTTGGTCTTATGTGATTATTTCATAATTTTATGTGTTTCTTTTATTTTTTAAGAGGTTTCTGCCATAGGGCACATGCACTCATCAGAGAGAAAGACAGAGACAGAGAGTGATAATGTGAGAAATCACCCCCTAGGGGGAATGGCCATGTTGCAATCCCTTCTCCTCCATTCTTCTCCTGGGATCTTGGGCATATAGGCACATGTACCCAGCGTGATCTTCGAGCCACCAGGCCTGGGACTTGAACCACAGTCAGCCATGTGGGAGTCCAGCAACCGTTATGCCACCTACTGGTCCCCTTATGCATTTCTTATAGTTCTAATTTACTTGCACACTCTGGAAATAGCCTATGCTTATGTCACACCTACTTCAGAAAATAGCTAAAAATCCTAGATATAATGGCCAATCAACTGAACTGTAAGGCAGGTAACGATGACTTATAAAAAGGTGAACTCAAACGAAAGTGCATGCACGTACACAAATACCAAAAATACTCTGACCCTGGGGCCAGCAGATGCATGGTAGTTAAGGCACTGGATCCCACAGAGCTGTCAGTGTGGTCTGAGTCCTGGACCTGGCAGCTTGAAAAACACACCAGACACAGATGTGTACAGGCCCCCAAATCTGAGAGGAAAATGGAGAAAATATTGCAGCATGGCCTTCTCCCTTGGTGGATGACTTCTCACTTTCTCTGTCTCTCTCTCTGGCAAGCGTACATGCCCTATGGCAAAAATCTAAATATTTAGAATTATATACTGTAACTTAATCAGATATAGAATTTATAATAGTAAAAATGGTAATAGTTCAGAAATTAAGCTGTAAATCAAAGTAAAATAACTGCAGATATAGCAATAGAATAGTATGTTGTCATTGAAAATGCTATATTCATCAGTAAGGAACTAATTAAAGGATAATACTAATAACTGATAAAAATTAATTAGGTAGGGGTCAGCAGGTGGTATGGTGGCTGAGGCACTGAAGTCCTATACGGTCGACCACAGTTCAAGTCTTGGACCCAGTGTCTTGAAAATCATGCTGGATATGTGGTTATGTACCCAAAATCCCAGGAGGAGAATGGAAGAGAGAGGACTGTGGTGTGGTCATCCCGCCTGGGAAGTGATTTCTCACTTTCTCTCTCTGGTGAGCACACACACCTATGGCAAAATTTAAAAACCTAAAAATAAATAAACAGGTCAGTCTGGGTACATTGATTTTTTTAAAAAAGAGGGCCAGCATGTGGTGTAGTAGTTAAGGCACTGGACTCCCACTTGGTAGACTGTGGTTTGACTCCTGGACCCAGCAGTTTCAGATTCACATGGGGCACATGTGTGTGCATGCCCAACTCCCAAGAAGAGAATGGAGAATGGGCTGAAGAAGGGCAAACCTCCTAGGTGGTGATTCTTATTTTCTGTCTCTTTATGTCTGTGCTAAGTACATGCACCCTATAGCAAAAATCTCTCTCTCAAAAGAAAAAAATTAAAGGCATGCAAGACACATCAAGTTAAAAAAACCCAGTGTAGAGGATATACACACAGACATGATAATCTAAGGGGAGAAGGTCCTGGTAATGATTAGAGGGGGGAGGCATATTCAATTTGCTTCCTCACGCTGCTTGAATTTACATACTACTTATTACTTTTATTCAAATACAAAGATCATTTTTGACACCAGAAAATGTTTAGAAGTAATGCTATGTTAAAGAAGCAGTTTAATAATTAGCATAAAAGCACATTAGAGAGAAGGGCTGGCAGGTTGGCATAGAGGTTAAGGGCACTGGACTCCCACATGGCCAACCACGGTTCAAGTCCTGGACTTGGTGGCTTGCTTTCTCACTTTCCCTTTCTCTCTCTCACTCTGTCCCTCTCTGGTCAAATTAAAATAAATAAAGTTAAATAAAGTAATTCTTTTTTTTTCTGAGATGTTTTTGCTATAGGGCACGTGCGCTAACCAGAAAGAGAGACAGACAGAAAGCGAGAAATCACCCCCCTGGGGGACGGCCACGCTGCAATCCTCTCTCCTCCATGCTCCTCTCGGGATCTTGGGCATGCATGCACACACACCCGGTCTGAGTTTAAGCCACTGGGTCTGGGATTCAAACCGCAGTTGACTACATGGGAGCCCAGCAACATAGCCATTATGCCAACTGCTGGTCCCAAATAAAGTAATAAAATCTTTAAAAAAAAAAAAGCACATTAGAGAGTTAAAAAAAAAAATTAGAGAGGTAGCCAGCAGGTGGTGTGGTGGTTAGGGTGCTCTCACATGGTCAACTGTGGCTTTGAGTCCTGGACTTGTGGCTTGCTTTCTCACTTTCCCGTTCTTCCTCTCTGGTTAAACTGAGTAATAATAATAACAATGTAATACATAAAATTAAATAACCCTTCAAAAACACACACACACACATTAGAGGGGGCCAGGAGGTGACATAGTGGTTTAGCCACTGGACTCCCACAGTTTGAGCCCTGAACCTGGCAGCTTGCTTTTTCTCTGTCTCTCCCTGGTGAGTGCACATGTCTTATAGCAAATTAAAAAAAAAAAAAAAAAAGATTCTTAAAAATTATAAAAAACACACACTAGGGACCAGCAAATAGCATAATGGTTATGTTGCTGGACTCCCACAAAGTCTACCATGGTTTTAGTCCCAGACCCGGCAGCTTAAAACACACCGGGCGTATGTGTATGCATGCCCAAAATTCTGAGAGGACAGTGGAGGAGAGAGGATTACGGTATGGCCAACCCCTGGGGAGTGATTTTTCGTTTTCTATCTCTCTGTCTTTCCAGAGAGCACACGTGCCCTATAGCAGAAATATCTCAAAAAAAAAAAAAAGCCACACTTCATAAGAAATGCAAAAGTATTACTAAAATGCTAACAATGAAAAGGTAGGTTTTCTTTTGTATTCTCTAATTTTCAATAAGTTGGCTATATTACTTATTGTTAGTAAAAGAAATTGTTATATTTCTTTTATAAAGGAAAAACATTTAAAATTTAATTTTCTCAAACCAAGATTTGTTATTACCTTCCTCAAAAGAACAAAATAAAAATGTGAGTGGACAGGAGCATATGGGGGGGTCTTCAAAAAGTTCATGGAAACGTATATTATGAAAAACTATGCACAGATTGGAACATTTTATTTTGAATACCAAACTAAATTTTTCCATAAACTTTTTTTTTGAGAGGTTTTTGCTGTAGGGCATGTGCGCTCGCCAGAAAGAGAGAGAGAGGGAGACAGAAAGCGAGAAATCACCCCCTGGGGGGATGGCCATGCGGCAATCCCTTTTCCTCCATTCTCTTCTCAGGATCTTGGGCATGCACGCACACATGCCCGGTGTGAGTTTTAAGCCACTGGGTCTGGGATGCGAACCGCGGTCCATGGGAGTCCAGCGACATAGCCATTACGCTAACTGCTGGGGGACTAGTAAT